GGCGAAGGTAGGCGCGTCGCGTGGCCGTGCGGCACCTGTGCTTGGCGCCCACGCGGCCCCTGGCACGAATTGTAACCCTGAAACGACCCAGCTGGTCCGCACTTGCCCGTCAGTGTCGCTATGGTATCGCTCTTTCCCTTTGCGCAGCAGAAACGAGTGGGTGTTGTTCAAGGTGTTGCAGGAAGTGGAAGGGGCGGGCCGCGCCACGCTGTCCCGTCACGCGACTTGCAGCGTCCTTATCCGGTTTAGCGCCGCCGCGACCTCGAAGCGCCGCGGCCGCGCGTAGCTGCCCAGCAGCTGCCGCGGCGACAGGGCGTCGAGGCCCTGCGGGGGCGGGTGCGGACGGGTGGAGGGGTGGAGGGGTGGTGGCGTGTATGCTACCGGTGGCATCGGCAAGGATAGTGCATTTGGGGGTGGAGCACCGGCAACAGTGTTTCTTGGGGTCGAACGGGCCGCCTAATGATGAGATCAAGATGCTGTGAAGCCAGAGTAAAGCGCGACTTGCAAGCTGCACCCACCGCAGGCGGGTGCGCCCCCTGCCGCCAGCCCTCCCCCGCTGCCCGCCCCTCGCAGCCACTTTTGCACCACTCCCAGGCGGCAGCCGGAATCCAGGCCCCCACGTCCCTGCAGCGCCCGACGCCGCTCCAATCCACCGCGCATCGCCACCCCATCTCGTCCACAAAGTGCGAGTCCCTGATCCCTGCGACCCGCATGATCCAAAACCCTGGTCCACACCTTTTGGTCCAACTCGGCCTCCAGCTCAGCCAGCAGCTGAGTCAGCGTCCGCCGCCCGCCGCCGCCGCTGCCGCGTGCGACGCGCGCGTGCAGCCACTTGAGGGCGTCGGCGATCGCCCGCGTCTGGGAGCGGTCCACCAGCTGCGCGGATGAAGTGATGCGGCAGTGGTTTTGAAACAACAACAGCGACAGCTCGAGCTCACAGCAGGATCGTCTTCATGCTTTATGCAAGATGAGGTCAGACCGTGTCGAAGGCTGTGAATTTTACTTGAACCGCGGCAGGTGAGATCGGGCCGTCTAGGGGGAGCCAGATTCGATCAGATCAGATCAGATGAGATCACCTGCTCCACAGCCGACAGCTGGACCTCCTGGCTGCCGTAGCTGATCAGCCCCAGCGCCCGTGCCGCCACCTTCAAACCGTCGGGCCCCTCCGAATACACCGCCGCCGGCGCCCGCTGCGCCACGGGGCCGTACCCAGGGATATGCACCGAGCGCCCGCCGCCGCCGCTGCCGCCGCCGCCGCCGCCGCCGCTGCTGCTGCTGAGGCCTCCGGCCGGGGCCGGCGGGGCCGCGGGTGCGGAGGGCGCCGCGCCGGCGGCCGCGCGGTCGTGGGCCGCCGCGATGTCCCGGGCGCGCTGAGTTAGATCCAGGACGCGGTAGCTGTCCATGCAGATCACTGCGCGCGTTTGAACCGTGCCCATGCGAAGGGGCCGAGGTCGAGGGCGGCGTCAGGGGGTTACCAAGAGACGGGCCGCAGGGGCGCACTGGAGCGTAGCCCGGGACTGACGACAACAGGAAGGCGCGACTAGAAACCGTGTGTGGGAAGGCCACCCCTGATGCAGGACCGGAGGGCCCCTTAGTTTGCCCAGAACAGCACAACCGAATCGCGTGCGTCCTCTTACTGCCCCGCACCTGCATCGGCCAGTCCGAGGTAATCGCCGCTGCCGCCCATCACCAGGATCGTCGAGACGCCGTGGGAGCGCAGGGCACTGTTGCATGTTTGGAACGGAGAAATGCGAACGCAATCGTGCGGTTGTAGTGTGCGTGTGTGTTTGAGTACGGTGAGCGTGTCTTGTCCTTGTGTGTGTGTGTGTGTGGGGGGGGGGGTGTTTATGCGTGTGCGCGAGTGCGTCTGCCAGCATGATGCGGACAAACACGGCTGTTTCAAGGTGAGAAGGGGCACACCCAAAGGGCGTGAGGCAGCATGTGGCTGCAACAGCCGGCCTCGTCGCCCACAGCGCGCGCAGCTGCTGGTGCCCGCCAGCGGCCAGCGGCCCGCCCCCCCCCCCCCCCCCCCC